TATGGTAAAAAATTTACTGTCGAAGACGAGAGATATACGATTCGGATCAATATATATATATAATGCGTATAAGGAGACGAAATTTAAAAAGAGGAAGAAGAGTAGAATGGAAGCAGGCGTTAGAAGATATTGTTTCCGCGAAACGGAGTAAAAGGCAGCTTAAAAATTCGCCGAAGGTTCTAGAATGCAAATCCTGTATTTTTTTACCCTAACGAAGTCACCCTCGCTTTTTTTCACCCCCGACTCGACGTGCAGTTAGCCAGTGAAACAGAACTCGTGTTTTTTAAGTTGGCGCGGTATTAATATTGCACAAGGCGAAATTGGAACGCTCCAATCTTCCCTAACTGGAAAAAATCTATAATGGTGTATATGTGTATATAAGATATGCTAGTTAGAAGGAAAGAAAAGAAGTTTTGATAACGGGCGGGTCCAGGAAGAAAGAGAGACCTTCTATAGCAGACTTTACGTCAGCGATACACGTTATGACTATTACCTACACCTTTTGCCTTCACACATATTTCACTTCCTGGAAAATTATTTCTTTGCTTTTAAATTGTTGCGACACAAAAAGTTTTTACTACATTTTCTACACGTTGATAGAATCCCTATATGCGTTGAATTTTACAATAAAACATCTGAGAAGTTTCCACAATCGTATTTAAGTCATTAATAGGAGTTCTCGATGAACAGTTTATCGATACCTTCAGGTGGACTCCAATTTCTAGCTTATTAACTCTCGTCACTTACCAATAAATAGAAACCTCAAATTAATGAGGAAAAATTGTTGCTGTTGTCACACCCTCGCCGGGAATCGAACCCGAGCTCTTTGGCTTTACGCGCCAATGCTCTGACCACTAGAGCCCGGGTTCGATTCCCGGCGGGGGTGTGACAACAGCAACAATTTTTCCTCATTAATTTAAGGTAGTGTGTAGTGGATAAAAATTGAGAATATTTCATATTAAAACAAACTCACTTCGGGAAGATTTCTACATTGTATGTATATCAATAAACAGAAGTTGCTGATTGAAAACAAGGAGACTGAAAACAAAAAGTTTTAGGTTCCAAAATTTGTAATATCATCAATACCTATTTTGTATGAAGTTAAAGAATAAGTGACTCAACGAGATTAGTGTGCCTTATGGAATTAGCCCTTCTATAGTGACGATAAAGTAAACGACTCAAGATTGATTCCACATGTAGGGAATGTGGCTTAGTACCATTATAATAGGCTACTAATTGACGTGTACAATGCAGGGTTTTTCTGTAATAAATGCAAAACCTGTAGGAGGCGATAGAGCACTATAAGCAAGAGCAATTCCAACCCTGGTAAATCAGAAATACGACAACGCAACGCTGCATTCAATCAACTGGTAATTAACATTAGCAGGATGAGTTGTATTTCTTTTTGATTAGATAAAATGTGACTCAATATGTTTATGATACACTCAACCTGTCATAGTTATTTGTTCTTTTAATGTAGGGGATGTCGCTTGGTACCATTATAATAAGTTACCAATTGACGTGTACAATGCAGGGTTTTTCTGATATAAATGCAAAACCTGTAGGAGGCGACAGAGCACTATACGCAAGAACCAATCCGACCCTGGTAAATCAGAAATACGACAACGCAACGCTGCATCAACTGGTGATTAACATTATCAGGATGAGTGTTGTATTTCTTTTTGATTAGATTAAATGTGACTCAAAATGTTTACGTTACAGTCAACCTGTCATGGTTATTTGTTCTTTTGACGCTTTAGACTTGTATTTAGCAAAGCAATATGCTGTTATATAAAATATTTCAAGAATACAACATCAGTTATTAGAGTAGGTCAGTGCATCACTGCAGAATACTTGTTACAATACGACATTTATTTACGAGTCCGAACCATATCGCCACTGTACAATTAGAAACGTTTTATTTTATAATAATATTCTGACTTGACCGTTTTTTTTTCAAAACTTGATTTCGTTGACCTGTGACATTTTCCTAATTAATTTTCACCTCAACATTACAGGTCTCGATTAATAAATGCATAAGTATAAAAACCAAAATGATACAGGATTTACCTTACAGGGCAAAATAAAATATTGTGTACATTTATAGATACGAAACCTTCCTTGTATAAAACGATCTTTTTTTAGTTAAAAAGTATTTCCGTTGAAACAACCCCTCCCACAGCAAGTAAACGATGCTGCTTTTATCTTTTAAACTTTACGCATGAACGAGCAATGACGTTTGTTAAATTGCAAACGTCCTACATTACAAAGAAACTGCAACCCTCGGTGAATTTTTCAAAGGGAATAAATAGTTCACGTTCAAACAATATAATACATATCGGAATAAAAAGAATCGATCAGTATTACCTATATAATGTAATATGATAAAAATAGTAATTATTGTAAATAGATAGACGCCTACTTCCTAATATTTATTCGTTTTAAATAATAATTTTTAAATTAATCCAAATGTTCTTCACAAAAATTTAAAATCAAGGTATTTAAATGGAATTTTAATGTAAAATTTTTAATAAAATAATTGGCACTACATTTTATAATCACAGATGTACTAATACAAATGAATAATTTACCAATATTCGATTTTTCATAAAAAAAGACAAAAATCACTCCAAAAATAAATGGAGCGAAGCTAAATTCATCCCTGATTCAGGATTTTCGGTCGACACGCTTCCTCTCTTAAACGACTTTACCGATATAGTTCAAATTTGGCACAATGTTCGTGCACAGTCAGGAGCAGGTTTGTAAAAAATGATTTTTAAAATCGGGCATACCAGGGAGGAATAATTTTCAGAAAAAATATTTTTATTTGATTTCTCAAAAGAACGGTCAATCGCAAATTTTCGAATTTGACGCTAAAATGACTATCTTGAGACTGTCTACAGTCCAAATCACAATTCGGACATACCATCGAGGAATAATCGGTAAAAATTATCTGATATTGGAAGAGAGCTCGCGACGTTAGCTAAGTACATACTGCTTCGCCCCTTTTCATCTTGCAGCATACTGCGAAAATTACCTAGTTAGATTAGATTAGATTAGATTAGGGTTGGGTTGTGCAGATTATTTAAAATTTGATGCTTCAAAATAGGTAGTGAACATAATAAACAAAGTCTCGCGTTGATAATGCCTACGTGTGAAAATTATTTGTGGTAATTAGGGGTGAGTATTCCTTTTAATTTTTTAAGTGAACATAATGCTCATTTATTAACTTATTACACACTGAAGTGCGATGGCTATCCGCAGAGGAAAGGACTATCTATTAAAAAAAGACTGAAGTAAATTATTGGTCTTCTCAAAGACATAAAATAACTCAAAACATGACCAATATTAGATTTTCCATAAAAGAAAGATAAAATCACCCCGAAAAAAATTTTTACTACGTTAGATTAGATTAGGGTTGGGTTTTCCAGATTATTTAAAATGGGTAGTGAACATAAATCCCATTTACTACATACTGAAGTGAGATACCTATCCACAAAGGAAAAGCACTATTAAGACTAGACTTTATTAAGAATTATATTTTGGTCTTCTTGAACGCATAAAATAACTCAGGACAAAATTTTATTGAAGTTTTAAAAATACTTCATGGTTGATAAAATCATGCAGATATGCGCAATGAAGTCTCGAGGTAAAAGTGTTATTTAAATTGCGCATTTTAATAAAAAAAATGCAATTTTGGATTTCATCAGTTGAATCTAATATTTTGATTATTTTCTTGCTTTACATGAATGTTTAAATGAATAAAAAGATGAAGCAGTTTCCAAAATAGTTTTAGGATCTCTGCATAACTTCAATTGCAATATTTTCCGAAATCTTAGCAATTTAATTAGTGACTCTGATTTGAAACCAAAATACAAAGATCAGATTTTATTAGAGTAGAAGAACAAGCTTTTATTGTTTCACTTCCGTTTCCTACAAACTAAATATGCAAAACGGGATTAGATATTAGAGTGCAACTTGCTAATATTGTCGCTGATATCAAGAAGATTTCCCTTTGGCATTTAAAAATATTTTAATACCGTTATTTTGAATTTTTACTACTAAGAATTACCCAATCTGAAAAATAAACTAAATTTTTAAAAAAGTTTGGAAAACCCTGTGATAAAACGCTGTTTATTTTAAGCAAAGGTATAGCAAACACTATTCCATTGAAAAGAAATCCTTACTTGAATTTATATAGTTACGAAAAGCTTAGATTATTATCCTGATCCTGTTTCCTTTCTGTCATTTTTTCTTGAAAAGTGAACACTGCGCGCTCTCTATGAGGAAAAGACGGAAACCTAAAACCATTTTAAGCTTGAACTGTAACAGAACGTTTCTTATTCTACATGGAAAGCTCATTCATGACAGATCACTACTGTCATGAATGTAGTAACGCTTTAGTAAAAACGATAGATGGCCAATATTCAAAAAAGAACATTTTTGAAAAACGTAAAATTTGCAAAAATAATTATTGAAATATGCAACATACATCCCATTACACACATTATTATAAAGTATCGTCTCTATACAACTCTTGAATCAAAGTATTGTAATTCCATTTAATTTCATCTTAAACGACAAAACAATTTTTTTTTATATTTTCGAAATACTAAATAAATGATACAGG